TATGAAAAATAAGTGAAAATAGAATGCTATAAACAAACTAATAAAAGTACGTTGTTATTAAAGATAATCTAACTACAAAGGTTATTAATAGCAATGTACTTTGATTAGTTTGTTTACTAAAGCATTATATTTCCGTTTCTTTTTTATAGTTATAACAGAAAACAAAATAATAAAAGTACGTCGAATCATTGATTTTTAGTTGAAGTCACTTCTTTATAATCATCAAAAGCCTACTCGTCTGAAATTGATTTAGAAATTAATATCGAGTTGTCCCCGTTTTGGGACTACTTTTTGAATATTTTATCTCATTTAGGATATGAATGTGTATTGCATGATTGTTTGTTTAAGAAAAATTTAGGTTGTCATCTTCTCTTTGCTTCTCGGGTGTATCTCTTTATATACTTGGGAACTAAGGGGAAATGTTGCCGACTTTTTCTCAAACAAATAGTCATGCAATACACATTCACATATGAGATAATGTATTGAAAAAGTGGGTTTAGAAGCATACCCTTGTGAATACTCTATCAATTTCATCCGATTTTTACTTCTCGGGTATATATTTCTTTATAGACTTGCGAATACTCTATCCATTTTGTCTGATTTTTTATCAAACAATCAGTTATACAATACACATTCATATATAACCAAAATACAATTTAACTTACAATAACTATGTGTACAATGCAATTTTTAATAATGGAACAGTAATGACGATCGATAAGAGTTGGATTCATGAGAACCGAACGTCCCCAAAATTCTTGGAAGGTCTTAAAACTTTATGGTGATTATTGGGAAACATTTCGACTCTAAAGATAAAGTGTGTTGCCCGTGCATAAAGTGTGTGAATATGTATCGATAGTTATTGAGTACGATTTATGCCCACATAAATGACTGTGGGTTTCTAAAATCGTATACTATATGGCAGTATCACAGTGAGAAACGTCATGTTTCGGATTTAGGCTACAATTCGAGTCTAAGAATAAACAGTCCAACAACTAATGATATGTTAGGTGTAACTGATGATGTTATGGCGGAACAAAATACAAATGAAGAAAATACAGATGAGGAAGGACAATGTATCGTTACATTATCATTCTTGGCGTCGTGTTCCTAGCAAGTACACAGATAGTTTATATCTCGGGCTAGAAGTAAGTATACAATATATTTTATACGTATTGAATTTTACACTTACTAAATATTTCTTTTACTAATCAAATATTTTTTTTGCATACTTATTTTTATCTTGATAGGTATCAGGCACAAACTTGTGGTAACCCGTTCGGGTGGGTATCCAAGTAGATATGCAAAGAGCTTATGGAGATTGCAAGAATGACATGAAAATACATTTTGATAAAGTCGGTGCATATACGGATGTGGAAATGGCAAGAAGACATCCACCAATGATTGATTTGTTGTTTTTGACTGATGATATATACGCACGTCGACCAAAAATAATGTTACTTGGTTGAAACTTCCGCACACAAGTGCTCACGGATGTAGGCTCTATGTTCAGAAACGTCATTTAGAGGTAATAAAATATATTGGTATTAGTTAAAATTGTTATCAACACTTGTATAAATATATTTATTGTTTTTGACTTATTATAGGAATAACAAGGACTAAAGTTGCAGCATATTGACGGTTGGAGACAGATGCACTTCAAATTAAGAAGGCCCGATGTGGTGTACAAGTTGAGCAGAAGAAAATTGGGTAAGTGATAAACGAAATTAATAAGTTTTTAAATATGTTATTATTATTAATTATAGTTTTTTGTTTAAGATATATTATTATTATTTTAATATTTAAATTTAGTTGTTTGTTTTAATTATCGTATATTTATTGTTTTCTTTATTTTAGGAGAAGATTCAAGACGAATATGAGAAAATGAAAAGCGAGGTCGGGGAAGGCGAAAAAGTAGATGAGGAAGAATGTCTCAGACGTGCCCTCGGGTTGAGACGTGGGCATGCTCTCGGAGTGGCTAGGAGACCAACCGCTAACTTCGGTCTAATTCCAAATGAACAGGATTTCATTTCCACATCTTCTCAATCTAGATCCAAATCTCAATCTCAATTTGATGCACAACAAATACAACAGTACTTGCAACAATATAATGCATCATTGGTGGCATGTATTCCTAATTTCCAACCACCACCATTATCTAGTTTTCTATTCAACTCCAACACATAAGGAAGTACCTCACAAGGAAATACCTCTCAACAAAATGTCGAGCCCAATAGGATGGAAGAAGAAGAAGAGGAATATTGTAACATCCGTCTCCCAACGTATTAATTAATTATGCAAATTAATATTGGTTTTGGACTAATGTTTGGGCAATGGCCCCTTTTGGAATGGACCTTAGAAGATTGGGCCAAGGAGTGGGCTGCCCATAAGCCGTACGCGGGGCGTAACCCGGCGTACGTGAGGCGTAGTAATTACATCGGATGCGCGGGACTCGGGGGCATACGCGCAGCGTACCATGAGATACGCCCAGCGTATGCGGGCAGATGACAAACCCTAATTTTTAGGGTTTAAGACATATATAAACCCCATTGTAGCCTCCCCTTTGGCCTCCTCACCTGCCCCTCACTCTCAGAAAACCCTAGTTCGTCCCTTACTCCATTTGCTTTGTGTGCTTGACCTCTTGAGTTCAATTTGGTGAAGAAGGGCTTGGAAGAAGTGAAGCAAGGTTGAAGGAAGAAGAACTTGAGTATCTTGAGCTCTAGGGTCTGGAACAAGCTCACCTTTTGGCACTCAAAGGAGGTATAAAGCTCCTACCTTTCCTTCTTGAGTCATAGGTCTAGGGTTTTGAAGATTTGGACCTTTTTAGGTCGAAAGATTTGATCTTGAGCATGCAACTCCGTTTTTGAGCTTAGGGTTGCCACCCTTGAAGCTAAATGTGTTCCTTTAGCTGTAAAGTTGCAAGCTTTGAGGCTTTCATGAAGCCATGCAAGAGATCTAGCCATTTCCATGATGGTTCTTTGTCACTTTTTAGTGTTGGGCTAATTTGGTGGCTTGCAAGCACCAAGTGATCGACTTTATGGGCTAGGACGAAGCATGGGACTCAGATCTGTAGTTTGGACATAGTGTCTTAAGGGATTAAGTCGTTTTGGAGAAAAGTACTTATCAGGAGAGTACGATGGGCGTACACGCCAGTACGCGCATCGTACAAGCCTTTTCAGCAGTACGCGCAGCGTACATAGAGGTACGCCCAACGTACGCTCAGTTAGTGGACTTTTGTTGTTGGGCTTTGGTTTGGGCCAAGTCTTTGACATAGTAGTAATGGGCTGTGATGGGCCTTCAGAAGCCAGTTAAGGGCCCAAGGACTTGTGGGCTTGGAAGGGAAGCCCATTTAAAGGGTTGGGCCCAATTTAGAAAATTAGGCCATTTGGGCATTTAATGGGCCTTAGTAAGGACTAGAAAGGATTGGGCATAGGTCATGGCCCAAAATAGATCAGAGGGGTGAAACAGTCATTTTACCCATAGGAGAGTCATCAATTTTTGACTAAATGTTTATTTGGCCAGTATAGCCGGGGAGTAGTTGGAGCAGCCGACGGTGTCACCTTTGCACGAGTTACTCAGCAGTCAGTTTGAGAGGTGAGTTTCCTTCCCAGTAGGAACGGGTCTACGGCCACAATGCCGGCCTGTTTAGATGATAGTAGTTCCGGACTTCGGTCCGATGTCGGGGTGGTCCCGGGAAGTAGTTATGTATGCTTGATGTCTTCGTGATTCATGCATGTTTATGATATGTGTATATGTTTCCGGACTCCGGTCTGATGTCGGGCAAGCCCGATGCAGTATATGTGATTATGTTATATGTTCATGCTTATGTTATGTTCAGTTTATTCCGGACTTCAGTCCGATGCCGGGCGGGGTCTGATGTAGTGGGTGGGGCCCAAGTTATTCCGGACTTCGGTCCGATGCCGGGCGGGGCCCAATTTATGCCGGACTTCGGTCCGATGCCGGGCGGGGCCCGATGCAGTGGGCAAGGCCCAGTATGTGTTATATGTGTTATTGTATGGTATGTGGTAGTTTGGGGGATGTCACTAAGCTTCGTGCTTACAGTTTTCAGTTTTGGTTTCAGGTACTTCCACTAGCAAAGGGAAGGGCTCGGGTTGATCGCATGGCACACACAACAGTTACAGCCTGAGAGTTTACTCTGCTAATTTGTTATGAGATTTTGATTTGAAACAGATACTATGATCTTTTATGATACATGATTTATGATTTTACTTATGACTTCTAATGATTTATGATTTTAATAATGATTTGAAAACAAAATTTTTGGATCATATTTTTGGGATGTTACAAATATGATAATGATGGTTGATGTTTGTGTTATTCTGAACAATGTTAACTTCTTATTGTATCCAATTTGGTATGTAATATAAAACTTAAATTTGATGTTTTGAATTCGAACAATGATAGCTAGTTATTGTATCTCAATTGATATATGCTGCAAAATGTTTGGATTTGTTAAAAATATTGGAATAATAAATGTATAGAATCTGTAAAAAAAACTAGAAAAACACCCAGTGGCTATCCCGACGACCAGTTGTCGCTATAGGTATTTGATCGACAACTGTGAAAAAAATGTGGCGAGGACAAGTCGTCGCTATATGTATTTTACCGACAACTATGAAAACCTTGTCACGACGACAAGTCGTCACTAGAGGTGGTATCTAACTGAAGAATTGCGTATGCTAATTGAAGAATTGAGGCAATACACTTTTGTATCAAAGAAAAACTTTTTCTACCTTTAGCATCACATTTCAATTTAAAGTATGAAAAATCGACTCTATCGGTCATCAACAATACGTACAAATAAGTATTTCTCATCCGGAAATGCCGTTTAAAACTTTTACTTTTAATTAAGTAATTAAATTTAACTACCCACAAACTATATCTAAAATAAAATGTAACCAAGAGAACAAAATTTGTGACAAATTTAAATATACACATGGACCAAATTTATAACTTACTCTCAAGTATATATATTTTGAGCAACATATTTATATATATATATTTTTTTTTTCATATGTGCAAATTCCCTTACAATATTGATACAAAATTGGCAGACTAAAGCTCAACAAAGTTACAGCCTCAAACATCCACCGATAGGTTGTAATGGAATTGCTACTTACATACCGCATATTCCTATCAACATATAGTTACTGCTAAACAAGTGACCTTTTATAAAAAGACCATTACATTATTATGAGAAAAAGGAATATAACATACCTAATAATAATAATATTTAGAGTAATATATAAAAACATGCACATGCAGTACTTAAGAAAGCGGTGATCGTTGAGGTGCACCCTTTCTTCTACTACCAAAGGAAAAGAATTTAGGAAGAAAATCATTGTTTTTCTTCTTCTTTCTTTCATGATCTGGTTTATACGATGATGTTCTTGAATCAGATCCTGAAGAATCTTTAAACTGATGATGATAAGAGTCTTCAAGAATGGAGTTTGGAGTGATTTGACTAAGATCATCGACATCAGAACTATCCATACGAAGTCCTTCGAATTGTGAGAATGCAAAATCAGTCACATCAAATCTACATAAAATGGTGGACAGATCTTCACCTTGATACACCATGTGATCAACCTGGTCCCATAAAAAGATAGATACATAAATGATAAATTCAAGATTCAAAACACAACCACACAGTACAATTTACACTTCACAATTCACAAATGTCATGTCGTTTCATAAAGTAGTTGTAGTACGAAAGAAAATGTTAGGGTGTAATTTAACCTTGCAAGAAAGAGAGCAGAAATGGAATGGTTCTTGAAGGATTCTGTCACAGGTGAAGCATGAATTGGCAGGACCTTTACAAGACCTGGTTTGTGCCCTCTGGTTCAAGAATATCACTTTTGCACTGTTTATTGTATACGGCTGCATTTACAATAGTAATAACATATCTATTATTAACACTAATAAATAAATTTACATTTTTAGAAAAACCACAAGACTTTTATTTTTATTTTTGAAAAAAATCACTACATAAAACAATAAACTTATAAAAATACCCATTAAAGTTTGAATTTTTACTTTTTTGGTTTAACCACCTAAAAAGTTTGTTATTATTATTAGGGTTGTTTGATATCATTTATACTAAGTGTCATAAGAGGTGGTTCTAACTTGGTTAAATTTAGACTCTTTGATATTACACTTAAAAAGAATAAAACTATATATTTGTCGATGAAGGACATTGTATTTATTATAATTTTATTAATGAAAATGGGTAATAGAAAGTACAAGATTCGTTGATTAAACTAATAAGAAAATGACAAAAGAAAAGTTACCTGAACGAAGGAACAGTCAATGAGCTTTTCGAGGTCGTCTAATCGAACAACGTCCTGGTAAACATATCTTCTCACCTATCACATGAATCATGAATCATCAACATGAACAAGAACCCCGTTAGTTAAATAACCATACCCACTTGTCCATCTCCGTACAACTTCTTAATGCATATATCTCCTACACCTACCATTTCATTAATATTCATTATATATAATCCGTACACTGTAATACCTTCATTAATTAATTAACACACCTCGTTATGTGTCGGGAATCAATATACATAAAAATATATACATACACGTGTTCATAGGCAACAAAAATTTACAATATTCAACATTGAATTCATAATTGTGAAGGAATTTGTATTAGTTTTGTACTTAAACTCCACAAAGAGATGAAAATTGTCTTGTTTTGAGAATTGTTGGTGATGATAAATTAATGAATATTTTTGTTTTGTTTTGTTTTGTAGTAATTAAATGAAAGAGAAATTGGATACGAATGATTATAATTAAAAAAAACAGAAAGTTAGATGTAGTGAAAAAGATGGGTCTGATATATAGAAAACAAAATTGACCAGAATGGGGTATTTGGTCAAACTTCTACTTTCTTTGAAAGCAACAGCTGAGAGAGCCTCTGCAGGTGAAAGCAAATGCCAATTCTGTATTTTAATTTTTCAGTTTAAATATATAAATATACATATGTCGATTCAGATATTAAATACCATTAATTATATAAAAATATTCGATTGTTTCTTTTATTATTATTATTAAAAAACTAACATAAAAGAAAAATGATTTTTCTATACGTAACAGTTGTAAAACGATTAAATGTGTTTTAATTTATGATGTATTGAATTAATTATAAGATTTCCTCTTTTCTTGGAAAATTTTAAGTGAAGTTATCATCCTGTACTTATTATCGTTATGTATAATTGGTCATATTCGTATAAATTGTCTTTGGTGAAGGTTAATTTCGACTTTTCACACATGCCTAAATTCCATTATTTTTATATATAATTCTTGTGTGTCCAAAAGATATTTAAGTACTTAGATTAATTAAAAGATATATTTTAGGAGAAGTAATATGAATAACAGAATCCCATAAACTTTACATGCCCTTTTTTGGCTTTTTGGAAGTTCAATTAACACCCATAATTTTGGCAACAAAGAAGAACATTGATTGAGAAAACCAATTTTTTGATTTTATTTATAGTTAATTGACTTAATTTTTACTAATTCTCATAATTTTCCAAAAAAAAAAAAGACTTAATTTCCTATTCCTCACCAAAAAAAAAAAAAAAAAACAAACCATTTTTTTTTTAATTCTCACAAAGAAGCAAAGACAACAACAAATGTCAACATGGAATTTAAACCTATAAACACTAAATTATACATATAAAGACAGGACAGAGTTGAATTCAAGAAATCTTCTTACGATAGTGTATATATAATCATTAATGTAGTGACTGAATGAAGTAGGATGATGTTCAGTCGTTGTTATATTAATTATATATTCCATGCATGTAATTAAAGAAGATGACTTAATGACTTAATATGAAATATGTATATTCCATATCGTTTGCATGGTACCTGAAGAAGTGGATGAGAGTGATGAGTTGGAAGACAGTGAGGGCAAAAGCTTTGACAGCAATCCAAGCAAAATATGTTCTTCTCATTCTTTCTTTTATTCTCATGGACCCCACATATCCCAAAGAAACTCTCCTCCATTAATCCTTCTAACCATGCAGGCTTCATCACCCTTCTCTCTGTAAATCTCTCTCTCTCTCTCTCTCTCTCTCTGTCTCTCTCACTCTCTCTCTTTCTCTGTTTCTGTTTCTGTGAGGTTACTGAAAGCACAGTCGTTGATACATATCTAGTGAGGTGTGTGATGAGTGTGTATATATATAGAGAGAGAGATATGATGATGAGTGTGCAGAGAGAGAAAGGGTGAGGATGAGTATAGAGGATAAAAACCTAATAAATGAAGGCCTGGGGGGGAACCAATACAAAACCCATATGGTGTTTTGTATATTTATACTCGAGGTTTGAGAAAAGAGTCGGATGTCGTTTTCACTTACGTATTCTCGTTTCTTTTATCGTTTTACCCCCTTCGTCTTTCACTTATGTACGCTTTTCTTACCCCTCCAATTTTACAAAAGGGTTAATCACTAAAATATGGACTAGTAGACTATCGGGTATAATAGCACAAATACTAAAAAAAATAGAGGTATTACCATCGACATTTATTGCCGGTAAAAACCCCAATAATCTCCACTAAAGGTATTATCGGTGACATGCTGATGCTAATACCTGTCGTTAAAGCTCGATTGTCGTCGATATTGTTGTCGTAGGTAATACATATTGCCGCTAACAGGCAAAGTCGCCGAAAATGATGTTGTCGGTATTAACGATCACCAACACAACGTCTATCGTCGGAACTGTACGTCGCCAGAGTCAAGAGAGAGTATGGTAACACCTTATAAACAACTTTCTTGCCCTTTGTGTTTTTATCGACCCACCGACTTTCATGACAAACATAACAATTCTGCAATGACTTGTGTTCTTTCCAAAAAGAGAGAACAATCGTTTTTACACACACGTATCGATTCATAGCCCAAGCCAATCTTTTTAAGATTCTTTTTGGCTTCATAATGTGAAGGGGGAACTTGATTTCCTAGCGGAAATGTTGATTGCAACAACTGTAACAGTTGATCAAAAGAACTATTATTTCATTTGTTGTTCACCTTGATATGCATAAGTTTTTCTATAAGGTCGAGAGACAAAAATGAAGTACAATCAGGATATAATTCTTTTTGGACTACCTCTAAAAGCTTTAGAAAATCATCATCAACACCACTACCCCTGGTATTCGAGTTCCCTTCGTCGAGGTTGGTATTGTTTTCAATCAACTCCTCCATAATGTCGTCGATAACACCAACCATCTCATTACTTGGCCCTATGTCAACTACCATCGAATGAATAGAACTTTCACCATGATAGATCCACTTTTTTGTATGAACGGCAGAATCCAGATTTACGTATATGAAGTTTGATTTGAACACATGGAATAAGTAACAATTATAACATTTTTCACACAGACATCTGATATACCCTCTATTGTCGACATTTACTTTGCATAGCTCAATAAAACTAGCGAGATCTTGCAAAAATTCAGGAAAGTTACGTTTTGGATTAGTGGTCCAACTTTTTATCAAGAGGCATGATGCAACTGGATGTAACATCCTAAAATTTCTAGATAAAATTTTTCATTTCAAACATCCAATATACATGACAAAATAACCAAAAGTATATCATAATGAAAATAATATCAAAGTACAAATCCCAAAAATCAAGTATATGCGGAAAAACATGGGCAGATGCGGTGCGATCAAATCGGGCCCTTCCCTTTCGAGCTGGAGGTACCTGAAACATAAACTGAAAATCATAAACACAAAGCTTAGTGAGCACCCCCTCCCCCCCCCCCCCTACAAAAAATACCCCATATCATACATACATAACAGTCAAAGCATAATTGGGTCTATTTCATCCCCTTCGGTCTCTTTCAACCGGTATTGGGTATATTTCAACCCTATCGGTCTCTTTCGACCGGTATTGGGTATATTCCAACCCCATTCGGCCTCTTTCAACCGGTATCGGGTCTATTTTATCCTCTATAGCTAGCATATAATTATAACAGTAAGAGTCACAGAGACATCAAGCATATACATACATAACAAGTAATTGTAACGAAGACAATCATCATCCTACAACCATAATCTAGTGGGTCGGAGTTGGAGCCTTCGACCCACGGATATAGTGAATGAAACTCACCTTAGACTGAAGATATTAAATCACACTTGAGATGCTGACTCGTGAAATCCTCTCACTAAATCACAAGTAATAAAACCCTAATTAGAAATTAGGTCAATAACCCAACCCGAGAGTCCAAACCCTAAATCCCGACTTTAAGGGAAAAAGGCTGCTTTTCCCTCCCCTTATTGGGCCTAACATACCAAGGCCCAAATCCAAATTAGTCCAATATGGGCCCAAATCCATAAAGGCTTGGCTCAGAATAACTTGTGGTCCAACAAGGGCCCAAAACCCTAAAGCCCAAGATGGACCGAAACTAAAAGCCCAAATCCCCCTTATGTGAGTACACTAAGCGTACCCTTAGTACGCGCAACGTACTCGGACGCTTCACTGGATCGGGACCCAGACACATACGCTCAACGTATAGCTGTGTACACCCTGCGTACGCTCCAGTTAGCCACTTTCCCTTTTTAAGGTCTTAATCAGTTAAGACCTAACGTCCAACTTCATATCTAGCCTCCTTAAGACGCCCTAAACAATAAAGTTGGCAACTTATCCCTTTTCATGTCTTAATGGGACTCAGGTCATGGATTTAACACTCTACTTCCATTTAGTGGTCACTAACTAATGAATGGTTGATCTACAACCACCAATATACAAGCTTTATGGCTCAATGGACCTCAAAAAAAAAAACAAAAGGGACATCTCATAACATCAGGAGTAGCATTTAATCATAAGAGTTCATCCATGGGACCAAAATATGTTAAATTCTTGTCCAATGCTTCTCCTTAAGCCTTTTTCTTCTTCAATAAGCACCACACATACACACACACAAAGCACACACACAAGCTCAATCTCTTTGAGAAATGAATTAGGGTTTCGAGGTTAGCTCAAAAAGGCAATAGGGGCTGATAAGGTGAGGGGTTTGAAGGACTTAATGTGCTTAAATAGGGGATAAACCCTAAAAATTAGGTTTGCCCCTGACTGATGTACGCCAAGCGTACGCATGGGTACGTCCCGCGTACCTAGGTGATATACCGCCTCATTCAATCCCTTTGGAGTACGCCCGACGTAGCTTATGTACGCTCAGCGTACTCGAGCCAAAATGTCCAAACAAAAAGGAAATCAAATACCTTAACATTTACCTGGCATATCGAGCGTTATAATTCTCACCCCACTTGAATCAGACTTCGTCTTCGAAGTCCACTGCCTCAAACAATCCGGGGTAATGCTCCCTCATCTCTTCCTCAGGCTCCCATGTCTACTCAGAACCCTTCCGGTTCTACCACTGCACCTTCACCAATCCCACAACCTTGTTCCTCAAGGTTTTCGTCTTCCGGTCAAGGATCACCACCTGTCTCTCAATGTAATTCAGGCGGCCATCCACCTGAATATCCTCCAATGGAACCACTGTGGAATCATCAACCAAACACTTCTGCATCTGAGAGACGTGAAAAGTGATGTGAATCTGAATGAGTTCCTCCAGAAGGTCCAAACGATATGTCAGATGACACCTTTCCAAGTTGACACCTTCCTGAATCAGTTGACACCTTCATGAGTACCATATCGCCGACCTGGAACTCCAAGTCTGACCGACGTCTGTCTGCGTAACTCTTCCACTGACTCTGCGCTATCTGAAGTCTACCACAAACCTGTTGAATCATCTCGGTCATCTTGAGTACCACCTCGGTACTCCCATGACCTGCTGACCGACCTCACCTCTGATGGGATTTGAGCATAACAAACAATTCTATGTATGCTTGCAACCCTAAATAATTTTATCTACGTTTTCGCTAATTGAACATACAACTTGAACTACAAATAGAAAACCCTACCATGCTCCTATAATATTCGAAATTCAAAAATAGGGTTAGAATAATCATACCTTAATCACTATATAGTAATAGCAATTCAAATCCTTGTGTTGTTGAAGCCTTGAGAGCAAGCGTCACAAATGTCACGCCTCTAATGGTTCACACGCAACACTAGCTATGGAAGATGATTGAAAAAGAGGAGAAGACTTCAATTTTTTAGCTGGATCTCTTCTAAAGAGGGTGCCGAAATTCATAGGGTTATTCCCTATTTATAGTGCAGTTAGGAAACCCTAGATAAGCCTAAATCCAAGATAATCTTAAACCGGGTAATTATCCACTTTTCTGATTATCCATTTAGGGATTATTCTAGAATCCCTTAGCCTATAGAAACCGTCCATTGCTCTATGGAGGGTTCTAGATTGCCTCTTGTTCAACTATTGAACAATTACAATTCAGTCCCTACACTATTAATTAATTCTTTTAATCCTGAAATTAATTCCAATTAATTTCTGATTAAATATTACTATTTATAATTAATATATTATTCTCATAATATATTAATAAATAATTTATTTCAATTTATTAATCAAATAATAAATCAACCTCATTCTCCAAAATCATCTGTCTAGTTGCTAGTTTTGAGGGCAACCCAAAAGGACTGTGCTACTATCAATAGTATATACCAATTGTAGTTATGGGCTTAGACACCTAATCTAACAGTCTCCCACTTGGATAAGTCTAATAACTATAGTTTCGAGTATATCCTTCTAAAATTGACTAGAAAATTGTAGCTCTCAAAAGCCGATGTCGAACTTTGACCCAGTCAGTTACGTGTCCTAAGATAAGTGATCAAATAGTCCTCCATTGTACAAGATATCGTATAGACATGAGACGTGGATTATAATCAATCTCTATGTCCAAGATTTGTTTCTCGATTTTTGATTTATAACGACCGAAATCAGGCTACCAATTGAATACATCATTTCAGTCCAGACTTGGCCAAGCACTTTATATTTCATCATCAAATCATCGAGGAGGCCACAAATATCGCTTCTCCCATTAGGGAAAAGGAACATATAAACTTCGACTTATATGCTTGCACCATTCACTCATCAAATCACGCACAACAATACGTTTTATAACAGCAAGTTACAGATGCGTTTACGTATTATTAATG